TTTTATATCATCAAAGTATTGATTTTTACTTAACTTATGTTTATTTCCTTTTGTTTCAGTTTTGAACCCTTTTCTAAGCATTTGGAAAATGATGGAAGGAGAAATAGAGGAAATCTAAAGTTCGGAGACCAAAATCTAAATATTTAATAGTTGATTCGAACCACAAAATGATGATTGAAAATTACATAGGATCAATCGAATGGAACTGTAAGTCAAAAGAGTGAATTATAGTCAAAATATTTTCACGAATCAATTTCCAACGGTACAAGTTATGCTCCATATTTTCTGCCTCAGATTGAGACCCATTTTTGGCATAGCAAACATTCGAATTGAAAAATTGATAATTCAAGAAGAATTGTAACCTTTGAGTTAGTTATCCATCACACTTTGAATTACCTCAATCCGATATCAGAAGAGAAAATTATGAAATAAATATTAAAGTACAATCTCAAAAAAATTGGTTTGAACTAGGCGATCGGCCAGTTCTTTTTTATGGGTGGTCGCCTTCCCCTCAAAACCATCAACAGGGGCCAAGATCTTGGTCTTGGCGAGCACCAAGGCCATTCGCGAACATAATTTTTTCCATTTTCAGTTGTTCACTTCTATAAGGAAACCTCTTCTTGGTCTTTTATGTGGACGACTTTTGGAGACTTTTGGGAAATTTTTTAGAGGAGTATAAATGCAACTTATTAACTTTAAATTAGGGTTGAACAACTGATTACTTGGAGAGGCGAAGAACAAAGGCAATTTCAAATAAAAAACTCCGGGTGATGAACTATTTTGCTTTCTTTTGTTTTTTAGCATGTTAGGCTAAATGATTGTTGTGCTAGGATCACAATGAAACTTGTATTATGAAAATTTAATTTTTGATTTTATTTAATTTTGATATTGAAAGCACTTTTTCAATTTTGAATGATTGATATGGGTTTATTTTTCTCTACAGTTATATGCGCAATGGTTGTACGAGTATTGTATTTTGTTTTACCTTTGAAAGATTGAAAATAAGTTAAACATAGTTTCAATTGTCGTAGAGTCTAATATGGAATATAAATATACCGTTATACTCTATGTTATTTTTAAATATTCATAAATCCTTAATGCATTCTTGTTCGTTCGCATCTATCATAGAAATAAAGTCAAGTCACGTGTAAGGATATGTTTAATTCTACTT